CGGCTGTAGATGAGAACTTCATACGATCAGTATGCCGCATTTTCTCACTGTCGCCTTTGCTAACGATAGTGATGGTGGCTTGGTTGTCTTCCAAGAACTGAACTTGAAACTTATCGCTAAGTCCTACATTCAGACCTTGGAGGTTTGCGACCGACCTTCCACCTGCGAAGCCGCCGTGCCTGATCTCATCAAGTTCGGGATCGACCCTTGCGAGGATCCCATCAATTCTCACCGGAGGCGGGGTCTTCGGCCTAACCTTGTGGTTGGCTGGGTCAATCTCAACCTGTTGCCACAGGAACAACCAAAGACTTAGGCTGGGAAGACCCTGAGCTCTCACGCCATGGTTAGCGCTGATGACCTCGCTCTCGGTACTAGACACGGTGATGCTGGTTTGCTTTTTGGAGAAAGCATTCAGTAGGCAGTATGTGTTGGGCCCGACAAGGTACAGCACACCCCGAAGTAGACTTGCGGTCGTGCTCTCCGGACCAGTCGGCTTCAAAAAACTCACCATCGCTTGTCCTATCTCCAATAAAGCCCTGCATCCTCACATCCAAAGAGGAATTGATGTAACAGACAAGCCTGCGCAAAGCCAAATCACAATCCCTGCCAGTCCACCACTCCTCGCGTCTGGGGTCTGTTGCTGTGTTGATATCATGTTCAACTATGGGTCCTTCATCTACATCGGTAAACCTCACGTTTGAGAGATCGGCGAATTTCTCAGCATCACGATTAGTCGGTATGTACAACCTCTTCCTGGGATACACGTGGTGACGAACAACTGCGGCACGTTCGGGTCGACTTCCCAGAAATCTTCCCTCACTATCGGCCTCGGGTTACCCCGGGCTGGAGCAGCTGTCTTCTTGTCAAAAACGTATGCAAAAGGATGCACCGACCTTGGTAACTTGACCCTCGCTTTCTCAAAGTGATTACAAACGAAGTAGCGACCAAAGGGCTCAGGAGGCTCCATGATCCATGTCAATGACAGCCTCAACCTTCTTCCAACCCTTGCTAAGCTTCGTAGAAGGACCTGCCATCTTAACATCGCCGACGTAAATCACAGGCAACAAATCAAGCTCAGCGTGGTAAAAGATGTTTTGCCAGATCTCAGGAAGAACAGCAGTCCAGCCTACAGTCTTAAGTTGATTTTCGCAATGCTTTTCTCAAATTCCGCCGGAATCGGGATGACCGTAAAGTGCAAGCATAAGTGGGACTACAGGGTCCTGGTAACGGCGCCATTCTTGAGGCCAGCGGTTACGATGAAGCCTGACCCAAGTTTCCACGGCTTTGAAGAGAGCTTGCGTGTAGGCCTGTCTCGCATCAGCCTGCTGTTTAGGATACCCGGGCTGGCTACCGAAAACATCGATCACTTTCGCGGACTCCATTGATGCGGGGCTGGAGCCAAGTTCAGCGAAGATCGCCTGATCGCTATGCTCATAGGAAACGCTGTTACCCTGGAATACACTGCGTATAGCCTCAGCTGCCACGTCTCGGTATTCACGAACCTTTTCATGCAACCAGCAGGGTTTGTCAAAGAGCTTCTGCCATTCTTTATCCATAGCAGTTTTGGCCTCGGGTGTTCTGTCGATTTCGGCTTGGCTCACTACACGGGCGACCAAAGCGTATTGCTCAGCAGTAACAGAACGGTTCAGTAGGCATAGCGGGCGCTGCGTTCCGAGCCTCATAGGCGAGATTGATAACGTTCCTTATCGGCCTCTCTCTGAGCCACAGACATCATGTGCCAGTCCTCGCTATAGATGTGTCAGGCGGACGCTGCGACCCCTTTTTGTTGCGGACAAGTCTCACTCCGTCGAAGTTGTAACCCAAAGGCACCGGAGTACCGTCGGGCATCACTGACGGGTCGTGAGCTCCAACAAAAGGCTTCGGTTCGGCTTTCGCTTTTAGTTTTGTATCGGCCTCAGCTTTAGCTGGGCTGAGTTTGTCGGTTGACGACCCTTTTCCAGAGTCTTTTCCTTCAGGGGATAACTCCTCATCGGGAATGGGATGATTTCCGAGGAGGCTTTCTTCATCTTAGCAAGTTCCTCATAATAGTCAATCCCACTTTCGAAGATGTTGTCGGGGTCATCAACAACATCGGTGATTTCAGTAGAGCCTTTGTCCTTAGGACTAATGCCCTGTGCAAGAAGAAAAGTTCTGGTCATCAAGCTGGGGTGGCCCCTTGTCCAAATCCTCCGAAACACAACATCCCCTATAAGAAGTTCCATTCGTTTATCCCTTACAACCTTGAGGTCGTCATTTTCTATAGCATCACGGCTACCCTTCAAGGTATTCCTGCCTCCAAATGAAGCCCGGTTGCACGTGATATTTTGGACAAATGCCATCCTCTCCTTTCGGGGCTTAGACGCATTGGTGACGTTCTGCTTCGGATTGTTTCAGAACAACACCTTAGTGCCGAACGGAATCAACCTTCCAACAACCTCCTCCCCGAAACGTTCCGTCCAGATTCCCTGGGCAGTGTCAACCCTCTTCAGGGCCATCGCATGATGTTGTGCTGCCAGCGGCCACATCTAATCTGGGAGTCCTGCTTGAAGGAGATTGACCCTTGTTTCCTTGAGGACTGTCCTGATTTCTTTCTTTCGCCAGGGCTCCGGGCTCGGGGGTTGCCCCCCCGACCGTTGTGGAGGGGCTGGAACGACAAAACGCACCACCGAGGCAACGTGATCAGTATGAAGCAACAGCGTACAAAAACAATGGCAGTATAAGAAAGACGGTGCACCAGCAGTAAGAAGGTTACTATGGCCTCAGTGCGGGTGTATCTGATTCGAAGTCTTTCTCCCCGGCCTGACATGAAAAACAACGACAACGAGACTAGACCTAGGGCCCAGCCAAGAAATGCTCTCTGAAACAGAAGGTGCCAGCAGCAGCAGATACTTGGAGTAGCCCCCAAAGCAACACAGCCTTCAACCTACCAAAGACAAGGCAACCTGAACGAAAGAAAAACCCCCAGGGCGGACCCCTCCTAGGCTGCTGGTTTGTTCGATGTACCGGCTTTCGAATTATTATGGTAAAGCGCAAGGCTTTGTGCCCCAGAGCGGGGGCGGGGGCTTGGTTAGCATAGTTGGAATGGCTCCTGCGGCCCGTCAAAAAGGTACTGGAAAAGATTGTGCTTCAGGGGTAATCCCCCTTACCAGAACTGGAAAGAAAGGAGAAAAAGCTTCGCGTTGAGAGAGCTGATCGACACATGCAAGCCAGCACATCCAGAAACATTTAGGACATTTCGTCCTGCACGAACTCAGCGACTGTTGGGGTGCTCCCCCTTTGTACAAGGAAAGGGCCTCGCTCACGTTGTTCACTTCCCACCATAGAGTTCCGTCACGGGATAGTTGCGTTCTTGTCTGCAGTGGTGAGGTGCCCTGTGTGTCCCAGCTTTCCTGAAAGACACGTACGGCACACTTCAGAGCTTGCATCCGCGTTGGAACTGGTTCTTCCCCTCTTGTTCATTGCTTGGGCTGAGCTCAGCACCAGGCTCCTGAGCGGGGAACAGCTCCCCCAACCACGTAGGCAAGGATTTTATTCGCTGTGTCGAGGAGGAAGTGTCACGCTGCACAACCTGGTTAAAGTTTACGACCTGATGAGCAGGGAGGGAATCGCACCCTGCAGGTTCGACAAGAGGCGAAAAACGGCACGACGTTGGCTCACCGCTGAAGTCGCCCTCCTGGTCCGAAGTCACCGAAGTCGCGGAGGACAATTCCGAAGAAGAAAACGCGTTGAGCAGCGAACGTGACGTACAGGTCGATGGCTGCGCGAGGGGGAACAGCTCAGACGGGCCACTTGAACAAGATGTGGCGGGCGTGTGACTCAAGCACCGCTGGAGTTGAGTGGACTGGCTCTCCAGGGGAAACACCCCTAGTCAACCAGCCACCCCCCTCCCCGATGCAAAGGGGTGTCACAGACCCCTGAGCAAAGGTGCAGCACTTGATCCAAAATGGCTACTGATTTCTCTCAACCACACTCTTGGTTTCGCCCACGTATGGTCGGGAAGTGTTGTGCCGGACTTTGTACTTGAATGTTGCATCTTGGAGGTCAGGTGCATAATCAGAGTAGATGATCCCTACCTCATCCTCGACACGGAAGAAATGAAGTAGACGATGGTACACCTGCTCAGCTTCCTTCGTGCTCGACGGGTACGCATACCGAAAGTTCGTGCACACATCCTTCACAACCAACGCAACCTTCTCTCCCTCAACACCAACGTCACGGAGATCCCTATTGATGATATGATCGACTGTCACATGGCCCCCAAACTTCTCAGACGCAACGGTAGAGGACCCCTCTCGCTTCCTGGCGTGTGGCGCTAGCATCTTGGCCTTTTGACACACCTTGTAGTAGGGGTTCTTGGGTCGATGGGTAAATTTGTGCTCCGCACTTTCGGCCTGCAGCTTAAGCTGGGATGAACGCTTTTGGTCACTGGGTTCAGGCTCAGCTTCAGCTTCGCTATCCGGTTCGGGTTCGGGATCATCTTCGGATCTTTTGAAGATCGTTAAAGACAGCACGGCAGGATCCGGGAGCTTAGCAACTCGGTTCTCCGAAGTCCGAATGTCAAGATCCTTCTCAATTTCAACACATTTCTTACCGAAAACCCATGTAGTTCGAATGACATGCTTCGGATACCTAGTGGCCGGAGTACGGAATGTTTTCGGCTTGTGCCCCACGAGCATTTGCGGAAACTTTGGGTGTGAAACCCACCCAGGTTGTGCTAGACAGCTTGCTTCGATAACTGGCGGTGGGCCAAGCGCCGATTTGATTCCCGGATCAAGGACCTCATCCGGAGCGACTTCTTCGTCTTCGCTCTCTGCAGCCCCGGCGTGCCTTAGAAGGCCGCTGTTTGGTGAAAGCCCTGCTCCAACGAGATCCTAAGCACTGGAGCGTTTGCCGTCTTATGACCGGCTGCTGGACTCGCTAGCGCGTTCTCGCCGATGACGGGTACCCTACCACTAAGCTTACGATAAAGCTTCTTGCCGCCTGGGGTTACAAAGTAAGGGGACTTTCCCGCGTACCAGTGGAAATCGAAACTTTCGTCCACGCGATGCCTTCCTACCGAACAAGCTGGCGGGGTTGACTCCAACACATAGCACTCAAGGGTACTACCGAGTTCTGGAACCTCAAGTTTCACAGACTTGTTCCCTTGCACCGGCCCGTTGGCAGTGATAAGCGAAACAGGGCGATCAGATCGCCCCACCGGCGTGCCTGAGAAGTGTGCCTCGTGATCGGGTTTACTGATCAAGTCCTCTTCGCTACCGGTGTTCGCTAGGAGTTCGAGACCTGGGACTAACCCCGCGCAAGCTGGCCTGACGCTCTTCTCACAACCCTCACACATGAAGCCTTCTTCCTCGCACTCGTAATCGCATGCAGCTGGGACGCAGTCCACCATGCATTGTGTGACCCTTTCAAACTGTTTAGAACAGAAAAACGGCTCGCTTAAGGTCCTGCGCATCCGGCCTCGGGCAATCCCGGACTGTAGCAAACACTTCTGCATATGCCCTGGGAAGATAGCTGTGTTTTCTACCCTTGCTCGGGTTCAACTGCGATCATTTGGGCCTCACGATCAAAACAAACACTGGGCATAGGCCTCAAGTAGAAGATTGTCTTATCGTCCGGCTTTCGGGGGGTTGCTTGTCTCCAGTCATACTGCTGTGTTGCGATAAACGGCTGTACCGGAAGAACCCTTTCGACCTTCACGCGACCCTTTTTTCTTCTTTGTGTTAATCGGGCACGAGTTGTCCGGGACATACCAATCATTGCGATACGTCTTGTGGGCCTTCCACCCTTGAAGTCAACTTCCCAAGAGTCATCATGACTGTTCTGGGTTCCTGGCGAGGCTGCTTGCCGCTAGGGCGCACGCTGCCGGCTTCTCGGGCTTTCCCTTCGACTTTGCTCTCGGACTTCTTCCCCTACGAGGTGCTGGGGAATTCACCCTTGAGGATCCCGGCTTTGGAGCGGCCGACTTCGGGGCTGCAGCTGACGGTTTCTCAACATCCTTTTGCTGAAAACGGCATTGGTCACCTCGAGTGCATGTTCCCTCTTTCCAGAACCCGCAAATCTTGTTGATTTTCTTCGTTCCCTTGTTTCCTTGCGGGGACAAAGAGCGCTTCTTGTGCAAGAAAGGAAAATTGTTGCCACGTTTGCAGGTTCCCTTCAGGAAGTCATAACAAACTCCTTTGGGACTTGAGGATCGCGACTTGTTGGGACTTGATGACCTACTTCTTCCGGGGGTTCTTGGCCTTGAACCTCTAGGGCTTTGCGATTTCTCGCGGCCACCTCTTCTTGAGGGGCTGGCAGAGCGGCGTGATGCAGCAGGACCATATATTTGTCGCCGTGCGAACGGGCGATCCGATCACGGTTCTTCGATTCTGTTCTCGGGTCAAGAGTCCCTTTATCGAGTTCTTCAGGAACGCGTATGTGTGCTGTTCACTACCTTCTCTGGCCCTGTCGTAGATATCAAGGTCGTACTTGAGCCTCTTGGATTGGCTGAGTTCTCGCAAGAAGATATCCCTTAGCGTTGTCTCATCTGGCATGTGGCTCAACCCGGACATCACACTTTCCCAATTGTCGACGAAGGTACTTAAGTCGCCTTCCATGAGCCTTACCGGCCTTACCTTAAGCAAGTCCTCCACCGAATGCAGCGATCCAACCTCTTCATTTGTTCTGAAGTACTGATCGAACAAGTACAACACCTGCCTTCCCCGTACTGCCCTGCCCTGCTCTTGTAAGCATCTGTCTCCAAAAAGATAAGGATCTCCCTTGCAAGTTCGCCATTGGCTACCTTGGTTAGCGCTGCTAGAAGCTAGAAGCTTTGTGTCCAAAGTAAAAAACTTACCCGGATCTCCAAATCATCATGACTCGCATCCACTGCGTAGACCTGCAAGATCTATTGGAATGCTTCGTCAGGAGAGTCCGAAGCTGCGCGCACAGCCTCCCTTGTGGCGGTCTTCCACGAACGATACGTTTCGGCATTGGGGAATTCAGGCAAGTTGATGTTTTCAGCTTCCTTGACCTCTGACTTACTCTCTTCGGTACTCTTTTCACCGTTGAGGCTCTTCAGGCTGTTGAGAATAGCCATTTGGGTTTCAAGAAGCGCATGGATGCGCATGGTTCCCAAGACTCGGCGTGCCGTGTTCGGCCGCTGAAAGGGCCGTCTCACCAGGCACGGATGATCTACCCGGGTCTTCGGGAGCCTTCTGAGTTGCAGGGGCATGTCGAGTTGTTGTAGTTGTGTTCATACAGGCAAACAGTTCCCTAGCACTGTGAGGGATAGCATTGGGCATTGGGAGCATGGGTCCTTTGGGGGCCGACGGGGTCGGAGATGCAGTCTTGGGCTCTGGGATGCCTGGCGGTTGACTCGGCTGACCCTTTGGGGTAGCTGCATCGTACCTCTGCAAACTCTTTTCCAAAGCACCTTCTGCTGCTTCTAACTGGTCCTGAAGGTCCTCATTCTGTTCCTGAAGTTCACAGACGACAGGCCTATGCTCACCCTTTGACCTCTGCTTGCATTGCTGAAAGTTTGCTTGAAACTGCTGAACCATTTCATGTTGCAACTCCAAAATGGCCTTTGTCGCTTGTTCCTGCAAATTCTGTGCGTACCTTGCAAGTGAACCTCAAGTGCATCTGAGATTCTAGCTTGTTGCGTTTCTTCCAATTCTTTTCGGAGTCTTACGTCACCGACATTAAAACTTCCTGTCTGCCCCTGTTCGGCTACCCATATTTGGGAGCTGCAGGGGTGCACGATTGCTCTTTTCCATCATAGATCTGAAAGACAGTTCACATGGCGAATCAACAGGCTCAGTTGGTATCAATTTAGGGGAGCTCATGCACTGATTGCCAGCGCAGTTGTAGTACCAGGCCGTAGGCATCCGTAGGCTATACGGCTGATAACTTATAGATTGGGGAAACCACGCTCACAGGCACTGAGGTAATAATATCCGTACAAGTGTTGATAGGCTTATACCATGGCATGCGGACGCACATGTTTCCTATCAGAGCACTGTGGCAACAGTCGGTCAGACAATCGTTATCCACTCCCCAAG